CACCACCACAATCATCACCACCACAATAACCACCACCATCACCTTCACCACCACCACCACCACCGTCCTCACTATCATCACCACCATCATCACCACCAACATCACCATCATAATCACCACCCTCAACACCACCACCATTTTCACCATCACCACCACCATCATCATCATGATCATCATCACCAACATCACCACCACCATCACCAGCACGGTCATCATCACCACCACAATCACCACCATCACCACCATCACCAATACCATCATCACCACCACAATCACCACCATCACCACCACCATCACCAATGCCATCATTACCACCTCCATCATCACCATCATCATAACGATCATCACCATCACCATCATCAGCGCCATTATCACCATCACCACCCCCATCACAACCACCATCACCACCATCATCACCATCATCACCATAACCACCAACATCACCACCAACACCATCATCAACACCACCACCATCATCACCACCATCATCACCATTAACATCACCACCAACACCATCATCAGTGCCATCATAACCATCACCACCACCATCCCCATCACAACCACTATCATCACCATTACTACCACCACTATCACCACCATCACCACCATCACCACCACAATCATCACCACCATAATCAATATCACAATCAACACCACTAACACTATCATCACCACCATCATCACCACCAACATCATCATTACCACCATCATCACCATCACCATTATCACCACCACCATCCTCACCACCAACATAATGACCAGCACAATCACCTTCACCACCACCACCACCATCCTCACTATCATCACCACCATCATCACCATCACGATTATCACCACCACCATCCTCACCACCAACATAATGACCACCAACATAATGACCACCACCATCACCTTCACCAGCATCATCCTCACTATCATCACCACCATCATCGCCACCAACATGACTATCATCACCACCATTACCAGCACCATCACCACCACGGTGATCATCACCACCACCACAATCATCATGACCATCATCACCATCACCACCACCATCACCAATATCATCACGACCACCACGATCATCATTACCACCACCATCATCATCACGATCATCACCATCATCACCACCACCACCATCACCAATACCATCATCACCACCACCATCACCACAACCATCACCACCACGATCATCATCACCATCCGCATCATCACCAACAATATCATCACCACCACCATCATCATCATCACGATCATCACCATCATCAGCGCCATTATCACCATCACCACCCCCATCACAAACACCATCATCACCATCATCACCATCATCACCACCAACATCACCACCAACATCACCACCAACACCATCATCACCACCACCACCATCATCATCACCACCAACACCATCATCAGTGCCATCATAACCATCAACACCACCACCATCCCCATCACAACCACTATCATCACCATTACCAACCACCACTATCACCACCATCACCACCACAATCATCACCACCAACACCATCATCACCACCACCACCATCATCATCACCACCAACACCATCATCAGTGCCATCATAACCATCACCACCACCACCATCCCCATCACAACCACTATCATCACCATTACCACCACCACTATCACCACCATCACCACCACAATCATCACCACCATAATCACCATCACAATCAACACCACTAACACTATCATCACTACCATCACCACCAAAACCATCATTACCACCATCATCACCATTATCATCACCACCATCTTCACCACCAACATAATGACCACCACAATCACCTTCACCACCACCATCCTCACTATCATCACCAACATTATCACCATCACCATTATCACCACCACCATCCTCACCACCAACATAATGACCACCACCATCACCAGCACCATCCTCACTATCACCACCACCATCATCACCACCAACATCACCATCATCACCACCATCACCATCACCACCACGGTGATCATCACCACCACCACAATCATCACGACCATCATCACCACCACCATCACCAATATCATCATCATCATCACTACCACGATCATCATCACCACCACCATCATCACCATCATCATCACGATCATCACCATCATCACCACCATCACCACCACCATCACCACCACGATCATCATCACCATCTGCATCATCACCAACAATATCATCACCACCACCATCATCATCACGATCATCACCATCACCATCATCAGCGCCATTATCACCATCACCACCCCCATCACAAACACCATCATCACCATCACCATCATCACCATCATCAGCACCACCACCATCATCATCACCACCAACACCATCATCAGTGCCATCATAACCATCACCACCACCATCCCCATCACAACCACTATCATCACCATTACCACCACCACTATCACCACCATCACCACCACAATCATCACCACCATAATCACCATCACAATCAACACCACTAACACTATCATCACCACCATCACCACCAACACCATTATCACCACCACCATCCTCACCACCAACATAATGACCACCACCATCGCATTCACCAGCACCATCCTCACTATCATCACCACCATCATCGCCACCAACATGACCATCATAACCACCATCACCAGCACCATCACCACCACGGTGATCATCACCACCACTATCAACACCATCACCACCACCACCACAATCATCACGACCATCATCACCATCACCACCACCATCACCACTAACATCATCACCATCATCATCACGATCATCACCACCATCACCACCACCACCATCACCAATACCATCATCACCAACACCGTCACCACCACGATCATCATCACCATCCGCATCATCACCAACAATATCATCACCACCACCATCTTCACCATCATCATCACGATCATCACCATCATCAGCGCCATTATCACCATCACCACCCCCATCACAAACACCATCATCAACACCACCACCATCATCACCACCATCATCACTATCACCACCACCACCATCACCATCATCAACATCATCACCACCACAATCATCACCACCATTATCACAATCACAATCAACACCACTAACACTATCATCACCACCATCACCACCAACACCATCATTACCACAATCATCACCATCACCATTATCACCACCACCATCCTCACCACCAACATAAAGACCACCACCATCACCTTCACCATTACCACCATCCTCATTATCATTACCACCATCATCATAATCATCATCACCACCACCATCAACACCACTGTGATCATCACCACTACCACTATCACCACCAATACCATCATCACCACCATCATCACCACCAACACCATCATTACCACCATCATCACCATCACCATTATCACCACCACCATCCTCACCACCAACATAATGACCACCACAATCACCTTCACCACCACCACCATCCTCACTATCATCACCACCATCATCACCATTATCACCACAACCATCCTCATCACCAACATAATGACCATCACCACCACCATCACCACCACGGTGATCATCACCACCACCACTACCACTATCACCACCATCACCACCACCACAATCATCACGACCATCATCACCATCCTCATTATCACCAACAATATCATCACCATCACCATCATCACCACCAACATCACCATCGACATCACCACCAACAGCATCATCAACAGCATCATCAACACCACCACCATCACCACCATCATCACCATCATCATCACCACCACCACCAACATCACCACCAACATCACCACCAACACCATCATCATCACCACCAACACCACCATAATCACCACCATCATCAACACCATCACCATGACCATCTCCTTCATCACCATCACCAACACCATCATCACCACCACCATCAACACCATCACCATGACCATCACCTTCATCACCATCACTAACACCATCAACACCACCACCATCACCACCACGATCATCATCACCACCAGCACCACCACCATGACCATCACCATGATCACCATCAAAACCATCCCCATCATAACCACCATCATCACCATCAACACCATCACCATGACCATCACCATCATCACCATCATCATCACCACTATCATCACCACCATCACCGCAATCATCACCACCATCATCACCACCATCATCACCATCATCATCACCATCATCACAACCATCACCACCATCCCACTGCTAATGTAAGCGGCACGCACGGAGGAGGGGAATTCCTCGGTCACGTGACGCTTGGGACGTGGGCTGCATGCTGATGGTGGTGGTGACGATGGTGATGGCAGTGACGGTGGTGGTGATGATTTTGGTGGTGATGATGATGGTAGAAGTCATGATGATGATGGTGGTGGTGATGATGATAATGGTAGTGGTGACTGTAGTGGTGATGGTGATGATGTTGGTGATGGTGTTCGTGATGATTGTGGTGGTGATGGTGGTGATGATGGTGATAATGGTGGTCGTGATGATAGTGATGATGGTGATGGTGGTCGTGATGATGGTAGTGATGATAGTGATGATGATAGTGATGATGATAGTGATGATGGTGGTCTTGGTGATGGTGATGATGGTGGTAATGGTTGTCACGGGAACCAAAACCAGACAGTAACACAATGCACGCATCCGTATCTCTCCCCGTGTCTCTGTCTCTCGGTGTGTCTGTGTCTCTCCCCGTGTCTCTGTGTCTCTCCCCGTGTCTCTGTGTCTCCCCGTATCTCCCCCCTGTCTCTCCCTAAGTCCCTCCCTGTGTCTGCGCGTGTCTCCCCATGTCTTTCCCTGTTTCTCCCCGTGTCTCCCCCCGTGTCTCACTCCATGTCTCCCCTGTCTATCCCGTGTATCTGTGTCTCCTCCCCGTCTCTCCCCCGCATATCCCCGCGTGTCTCCCACCGCGTCTCCCACCGCGTCTCCCCCCGTGTTTCTCCCAAATCCCCCCCCCACCCCGTGTCTCCCTCGTGTCTCCCCCGTGTCTCCAAGTGTCTCTCCCCCATGCCCCCCCCCCGTCCGTGTCTCCCACCGCGTCTCCCACCGTGTCTCCGCGTGTCTCACCTCGCTTCTCGCTGTCTCCGCTGCGCGATGAAAACCCACGGACTGAAAAATGAGATCTCAACCCCCTCCCGCTCTCTCTCGCTCCCTCTCTTTCTCTCGCTCTCTCTCTCTCTCCGCACCTCTCTCCCACGCTCTCTCTCCTACGGCTCCCTCCTTCTCTCGCTCTCTTGTAACCTTCTCTCCCTCTCTCCCTTTCTCCCTCTCTCTCCCACGCTCCCTCTCTTTTTGATTACGATCAGAGGAAACAAGAAGATGCTCGGTGTAGTCGACACTTTGCTTCGTTCATCATTTCGTTTTTTTCAATGCTTTGCTTTATGTACCCCCCCCCCCTTTTTAAATGAACGATTTCACAAAAGATTTCACGATCTCCTCTCCTCCTTCTTACCCCTTCCTCTCTCTCTCTACCCCCCTCTCTCTTTACTCCCTCTCTATGTCGATGTTCCCCCTGTTTTCTATGTAATATTTGTAAAAAAAATTACTACGACAAGTGCTGCATCTGCACCCAGCCCTTCTCGCTTACCCCTCCCTCTCTCCCCCCTCTCTCGCTCTATTTTTTTAGATCAAAAGAAACATTCCAAAAATTAATCAGTGATTCGGCGATTTCTTTCGTTCATCCTGTCGGTATTTTTCATGGCCTTTTTTCAGAGGTGGGGTGGGGGGGGGTCTCTCTGTCTTTTTAAATACAAGACACGCAACATTTACACGGTGCAAACACAACAACAACAACCACCTCGGAAACCTCACGCCCCCCCCCCCTCTCCATCGGCCATCGAACATGAAGCACACTCCTCTAGCCCAACGCGTCAAGAGAGATGGGGACACCTCCTGTCAACCGAGCTTAGAGCAACATTTAGCCACGTTCGGACAGAAAACCTAGGGGCTTTTGAAGATGCGACAGTGGCTTGTTTGAACGATTTCCTTCAATGGAAAATTAACTAGCCCTATGGATAGCCAGTCTATCATTGTTCACCAACCCTTCCATATCGTTGGTGCCCTCGTTCCCCCTATAGTAGGATAGTTCGTAGCAGATTATAGAGGTGAGTCTTGGCGTTTTGCAGTGGGTGCATCGATGCACTCCTGTTTCGATCTCTCCACATGATACACACATTTTTGTTTTTGTCTCTGTGAAATGTGCCAGAAATGTGTTCATGGTGGTCACACTCCCATGGGCAATGCTTCCAGCTCAGATCATCGTGGTGCATATGTAGTGGTCGACTTGACGCGGACAACTTTCTTGTTTTCTCGGACACCACTTTTAGTACAACTCTTCACATTACGTCTGTGACTTCGTCATTCCGCTTAGCCGCAGTTCGCTCGCCACGCTCCGCCCGTCTCGCTCACTCCGCTTTCTCCCCTATCCCTCACTGTCCCTCTGCGTCGTCCCTGTCTCTCTCCGTCGCTCGCTGTCTCTGCCGTGTCTCTGCCGTGTCTCGGCTTGTCTCTGGTTGTCTCTGCTTCTCTCTGCTCTACTGCTAGCCTGTTCGGTCTCCGATGTCGTCACTCCGGTTCTCCCCAACCTGCTTCGTTCCAATCCCAGCGACAACTCAACTCATTCTTCCCGTCTCCCGAATATATCCCCGTTCTCATTACCAACCAATTAATGAGGCCGCGTGCCCCCGACGCCCCGCGTCCCCCCGCACCTGTTACTTGCCCCCCTCTATTCCCAGACATTCCGGCGCCACCTCGCCCTTGCCAACAACCCCAGCCAATCACAGCCGTACATCGCTCCCCAGCTTAATTGGTCCGTCATTACTGCACAGTTTTCCACCGCCAGACCTGGCCGGCCCGACGTAACCCCACTGTCCATAACTCGCGCGTCTTTACCATTCCCCCCTGTATGCGCGTGTTAATCCACTACACTTATAACATGGCTTGGAGAAAAAAGAGCTCCCAATGAGGCCTCATGCGGTTACTGCAAGGGCATCGTCTCCCCCCAAGAGTGGCCTTTGCGTGACATTATTATTTGCTAATGATGGAATTGGAGCATTTGAGCGCAACAGCTTCCTCCGCTCTACATCTGAGAAGCACCCCCTCCTGATCATTCCCTGAGGTGTGTGTGCCCCAAGTGCTGCTTTGAAGAAGAGCGTTGAGCGCATCCTTTGCTGGCACTACATTCAGCTTTGGTGACACTCGGCCACCACTAGCCGACTCGTCGCCAGCACTCAGGGTAGGTGCGCTCCCCACTGCTGTTGAGAAAGCCTTACCATGTACTTCATTCACAAGCTTTACAGCAAGTCTAGCCGAGTGCATTCCAGTCATTGCGGCTATCTCGGTAGAGAGAACCCACTGCCCCTCCGTGCCTGGTTTCACCAGATCGCCCACCCACGTGAGACGCATGCCTACCACGCGTTTCTCTATGGCTGGGCCTAAACATGAGAGGGATAGCGCCGTGAGATTATTCTGATGCTGACCCAGGGTTTATTCCGTCGGGGTAGTGACGAGAAAATGCCTGGCCTGTAGACCACTCCTGTAGAAGTGGGGAATCTGCGTGAGTGGAATACCCCATAATGTCCATACAAAAGAGCCGTGTGATGCACTGCAGGCCCCCCAGGTTATATAGAAAAAAGGAAACAACCACACGGTTAATGGGGCTGTGTAAAGAAACCTGTGTATGGCTTGTGAGCGAAAGGTAGAGAGTTGTCTTCGTACTTACACCAGACCTTGCCCGACTTCCCGCAGTGGCAAAGCTAAGATGCCAACAGCTACGTGGTGCTTCCTATGTGACCAGAAGAAAGCAGCTATCATTATTTGATGTGTGGCTATCAGGTATGCGGGGGGAGTGAGGGGCTGGGGGGGATACGTCGTGCCACAAAGTGGACGCAATCAACTGGTTCACTTCCAGGGGTTTCTCTCTGAACGTGAGAGTTTTACACAGGCGCGCCCCCCAAGGCTCCAACCATTTCTATACCGTCTCTTCAAAACGATCCCAATTATTCCGTAATGGTTTATATCCCCAGGATCCAGGAGCACGCCGTGATGGCGTAGACACTCCACAACAGTGTTTTGGCCAACTCAGAGAACTGGGCTTTGCCCTACTTCCCCCACACTAAGCCCACTGCACTTCTCCCAGGTTATCCTGGAGGAGGACGCACGAGAATATACCTCTTGGCACTCGTGTAGCCGTTCGATCGTGCTAAAGCTTTGTAAAAACAGGGAAATGTCATCGGCATGTGCGGCGAGAGTCACTCTCATACTGGGCCCCTTCAAAGTTAAACTGGTGAGTTGGCATCAAGTAGACGAGGAAAAGGCTCCACAATGAGGGTGTTAGATCTGTCCTTACATAGGACAGCCCTTGCCTGATACCTATTTTAACGTGTATAGGAGCAGTTAGTGCACCGATAACTTTGACGAGACGCCGGAGCATACTGTAGAGCAACCAAAACCGAGTAGCCCACTGCATTTCTCTGAATTCATGCCGGAGAAGGACGCACGAGAATATACCTCTTGACACTTGTGTAACCGTCCAATGTCATCAAAGCTTCGTAAGAAGAATGTCGTCATCGCATGCTGGAAGAGTCTCTTTCATATCGGGCTCCTTCAGAGTTAAGCCGGTAATCTCTGTCAAAGTAGACAGAAAAGGTTCCACCACGAGGGTGTAGAGCTGCCCTGACATTGGACAGCCCTTGTCTGAATACTCTTATGAGGTCGATAGGAGCAGTTAGTGCACCGTTAACTTTGACGAGACACTGGACCATGCTGCAGAGCAACCCAACTAACCATATGAAACTTGTGCCAAAACCAAAAGCTTTTAGGGTGCCAATGATTTTCTCTTGATCAAGGGAGAGAAATGCAAGTGCAAAGTAAAAATGCTCCGACAGTAATAAAATATCTCACTTAGAAAATCCCATCATGGATGGTCCTCCCTGGACTAGTGTTTACCTGGCCATTGCCATAACCTGAGCCAACACCCTCTTAAGCCTTGCAGATACAGCTTTCACAACAATCTTGAAGTTTATGCTCAGCAATGAGACTGGATGCTAATTCTTCAGGCGTCTGAGGTCACCCATTTTTGGAAGCAGTGTGAGCACGGCTCTCCTCCAGGACTGAGGCATCACGTTGGTATCCACGGCTTCATCTTTAATAGCTTTGTAATCATGCCACAGGGAGTGCCAAAAATTAGGATTACACTCCCCCGTCAGCCCACCAATGTCTGGGTATTTGCTCCTGGCCATGGCATTCACTGGCATGTATAGGTCACCCTGTTTGACCTCTTCGTCCAGAAAATATTCTTCACCCAAAGTAACACAAGTCCTTCCAGATTTCACCTTGCGCCTGTGTGGATATATACCCTGGAAAAAATAGATTTATATAGTACTGGGCTACTGTTGAAGCTATTTGATTATTGTTTTGAAACAAGGACCCCCTTATATTCTTGGTTCTTTCGGTAAAGTCATCATCAGGTGATGATTGCTTGTGTTGCAGTCGAAACGTCGTGAGAATTTTATTGTTTTATATGTTTTAATTGTTTCCCTTCTACGTGACTTTACCGAAACAACCAAGAATATAAATCCCTGCAGTCACGAAAGCTTTAAATCAAAAAGGACCCCCTTGTCATCAAATAAACCCGCCATAGCTTTGTGCTTACCATTCTGCTTCCCTAACGAGAAGAAAAGTGTTGAGCTAACATACATATCCAGTGTGTATTTAAAACGAAAGTGTAAAAATGCCCCTTTTCTTTCTGAAAACCTTTTAGACATTCCAGAGTCTCCACATATTCCTGTATTATGCTTGGATTGCCCCCAATCTTTCGCCTTTGCTCTACGTTATGGAAGCTTCTCTCAAACTCACGCATTCCTGGTCAACGTGTTTTGTGTTACCCCAGGTAACGACTGACACAGTTTTGTAATGTGTACTTTCCCTATGTCCCACCATTGTGCTATGTTATTCAAACAACATTTATTTCCCTGCCACTCCACCCAGAAAACACCAAAGAGATTGGTGAAGGTGGTGTCTCCCAAAAGGGCATTATTAAAATGCCAGTATGCCGATCCCCTTGGAATTCCTCATATCTTCATTTTGAGTAGTATGAGTTGATGATCCGCCAATGGTGCAGCCCCAATACTGGATGATACTGCACTATTTTCAAGGTCTTTTAAGATGTACAATTGGTAAACCCTTGATTGTGACAGTCCTGTTAGCTTGGGTTCT